ACTGGCCGTGTGGGATTTTGGGAAGAAGAAACATGAGTTAGCAGAGACCACAAAAAAGCCATTTTAAAACATGCTTAAACCACAGTTTTCCCATATAATGCAGGTTTACTGCTACATGTGGCAAGGTTTTGGTAGTGGGAGGGTTACAAGGGTGGTTTCTGTGAGAAGCTTCTGGATGCTTCTCCTATGTCTCCAAGATGGACACACCGCTGGCCAAGGCCAAGCCCATCAGCAGCTATTGTAGTGCCTCTGAGATAATGGATTTAAAAAGGGAAAAAAACAGTCCTCAGTGACCCCAAGATCACTGAGGAAGGAGGGAGAGGAGGTGCTCCAGGCACTGGAGGAGAGATTCCCCTGCATCTTGTGAAGAAGACTATGGTGAGGCAGGCTGTCCTCCCTGCAGCCCATGGAGATCCATGGGAGAGCAAATATCCACCTGTAGCCCCTGGAGGACCCCGTACTGAAGGAGGCTATGACTCTCTGGGAAGACTGTGATGGAGCAGGCAGGACCTGTGAACCCATGGAAAGAGGAGCCCACACTGGAGCAGCTTTGCTGATAAGACTTGTGACCCCATGGTGGTCACTGCTGGAGCAGTCTGTACCTTAAAGACAGTACCCTGTGGGAGGATCCCCATGCTGGAGCAGGGAAAGAGTGTGAGGAGTCCTCCCCCTGAGGAGGAAGCAGCGGCAGAGAAGATGTGGGTTGAAGTGACCACAACCTCCATTCCCCATCCTCCAGCACTGCTGCGGGGAGGAGGTAAAGAATTCAGGAATGAAGCTGAGCCCACATAGAAGGGAGGAGTGGGGGAGAGGTGCTTTTAAGATCTTGTTTTAATTTTTATTATCCTACACAGATTTAATTAATTTAAACTAATTTCCTCAAGTTGAGTCAGTTTTCCTCATGATGGCCATGGATGAGTGATCTCTCCCTATCCTGATCTCTACCCACAGGTCTTTTGTTATTTTCTCCCCCCCAACCAGCTCAGGAGGGCAGTGACAGAGCAGTTTTGATGGGCACCTGGCATTCCCCACAACAGTTATCCAGGTCTTTCCCTTTGTCTCCATTTCTCTGTCCTTGCCACGTGGCTCACTACCAGTAGTATCTGCTGAGGGGTCTGTCCTTTCTTCGTGCTGAGGGTCCACATCTGCTGCTGGATTTTTTTAAGGCATCTCCAGATCCAGAGGACTGAGCTTAGCCTATCTCTTGGATGAGAGTTGAGGTACATCTTGCTAGTGGTCATTAAAGAGGTTACAGCTGAAGTGTCAAGAGCCATTCTCTGTGCAAACAATGCCAAGAGAGGGAGAGCGAGCAGGAGCTGCTTCTCAGGATCTCCGCCAAGATGGGCTTTCTTTGAATGATCTTTGAGTGGCTGGCAGGGCTGGTGTCAGAGCTGCTCTCTAACAACAGCATAAAGCAAAGTGAAGCTAAATGTAGAGGTAAATATGGGCCGCTGCTTCTTTCAAGATTAAAGCCCTAAGCTGTCCAGGCCTTTGGACCTGATGTTCTCGCTGAAGATGAAACAAATGGAGCAGTCACAAGGTTAGAGAATTGTTCAACGTTTATTCTTCAAAAGGAGCTTGGCAGCTGTGGTGCTTTTGTATCAGTGAGACAGTTATATTTTATAAAATGAATTACAGGCCTGTCCCTTTTTTGGGGGGGAAATGCATTCCATTTTACCATTATTTGCTTCCCTGCAGAGCCAGCATGTATCATTCACAGTGTCACTAAAGAGATGCTATCTGAGCTCTTAGCATAATCTTTATTTATCTCTGAGTAAAAGTCTTCTAAGTCTTTGCTTGTTTAGAAGTTTGAATTCAGACTTCAGGGTAGATCTAAAAGTAATCACTGTGCTAAGTTAAATAAGAGAAGCAGCATTTAAGGAGCAGCACTTATTATGGCTGTTATGTGACAAAACTAACAGGTTTGCAGAATAAATCAAATGTACTACAATGCCTTTTTATAATAAATACAATACTTTCTAAAAATGGTTTCCATCTTAATAGGCTTCTGTAAAGCTGTCAGCATAAAGTGAAATCATCTCACACCAATACTTCTGTTAACATCTTTGATTTTATTAGATGCAGAAGAGATCAAAATTCGGCTGCTAGTATATTACTAAGTAGCTCATAAGCCTAACCAACCCTTATTTCAAATTATAATTTACAAACCTGGTTGTGATTTTTACCGAGAAAGAAAATTTAGTAATATTGATGTGAACTTAAGAAATAGGAAAGAGACTCTTTCTATGTGTAATATATGTTTCTATATTGTTGCAGCTGGACTTTTTCCTCCCCTGTGCCCAATTTCTGGTGTAGGTAAAATTAACAGAGGCACAGCATTTTCCCCTGAAATCACAGAATCATAGAATGGTTTGGAAGACACACATGTGCCGTGATTTCTCTCTTACTTTCAGACATCTCAATTTCTGTCCTTCAAGTTATTGGAGACCAAGTAATAATGTAATTGAGTTGTGGTTTTCCAGTTTTTGCAAAATTTGCAAATGAGAACTTTCCACAGAAAGACACTTCAAGATGTAATTTTTAAGTATGTTTTTATTGGCTCTACTTTTCAGAGTTAGAGGGGAGATTTTACTAGAGGTATGTTTAAAATATTTAGCAAGAAGATGTGAGCTTATTCTGTTCACTCTTTGGTGCAATTCAGGTAGCTGTGATAAGCACAGTATAGTACACAAAATAACAAATCCTGCCAACAGGCACAGTGAGAACTTAGCACTAAACTGCTCTACCAGTGCAGTTCCTTGGTAGTGCTGAAAATGAGCAGATGGGTTCATGCGTGCCTGTAAAATACCACATGAATATGGAAACTCCTTGTCCCACACAAAGGTCTGGGAACTGGAAAAGATTAATGGAACAAACCAGATTATAGGTGTATGATTATTGATTTCAGTAAAGATATGCCATAATGATCTTAATTAATTTCACAGAGAAAGCTAATTACATTTAATTGAGTTGTGACAAAATACAAAAGCTTTTATAATGGCTAAGTCCTTTTTATTTCTGTCCAGACATTCAAAACATTGTTTTACAGAATAATGATCTTTTGTTTTGGCAGAAACCCATAAACATGTAAGGAAATAGGAAAGTTTTAAAGACTATCAGTGTTGAATAACTTTCTTTGGGGGATTTTAAAATTCTTATCTTACAAAAAAAGGCTTTTAATGAAGCATTCAAGACATTAATTTGCACTGAACTATGGAATTTTCCCAGGCAGCATTAAAAAGGGAAATTAATTGCAAAGGCTAGGAATTCCCAGGGAGTTTGTGAACATGAAACCTGACACTACAAGTGAAATTTCTGAGATTTTTGGAATAAGGCTATGAATTTCTCTTTCAGAAATTCAGAAAATGCTGTATACGTAGCATCCTAGGCCTTTTTCAAATCCTTCCTTTGTAAAGACCTTTCTTACAGAGAAAGAGGAAGTGCTCTGTCCTTTAGTAATGATGATGCTAGGAGTGAGTTCAGGTTGTTTGTCTGTCATCTGAATTGCTGTTTAGCAGATAATAACACTAGTTTTTTTTTTTCTGGATTAGTCCTTCCAGTTGGCCACCTATGTCAAATTCCCTATTAATTTCATAATCAATTTCATATTTAGTGTGTTGGACTGATTGCTGTTTGTAGATGTGCTTATGTGACACCTGCTTGCAGGGTTGGAAATCTGTGAGAGCATCCAAGTAAGGAATCTGTGTTTCTCATACCATGAGAGACCTAATTGTTTTTTTTTTAATGGGTGCACTGGTAACATTTAAAACAAAAGAAAAGGTTTAAGAGATGTGATGAAAATCACTGCCTGTAAATTGCAAGCAGTCATCAGTTTGCTTTACACCTTTCAGTGTCTCACGTTATTCACGCAGTCTCACTTTAGTTTTGCTTCTTAAACCATCCCTGGCTTTGACACAGCCTTTTCCTCTGCAATGGGCTGTCAGCCTTTCTTTATCTCTGAGCAAAATAACATTACCAAAGAGGACATAATTTTTTCATACCTGGATTATAGTATCTTAATTTTACTCTACAACATTATCTCTCATTACTTCTAATATTAAATAATTAAGCTTAGAAACTATTTTTAAGTCTAAGATGCCTTGTAAAATAAAATACAATTGTCTTGAACTGTGTTGTTTTATTTGTTACTCTTGCTCATAAAAAATTACCAAACGTGACTTTCTCTTTTAAATCCTTGCTTGTTAATCTTATGTGATAGACAACCAGGTGTGAAAGTAAGTCTTGAATGAAATAAAATTTCCTCATAAAAATAAGAAAATTTGAATTCATTTGAAATTTATGAAGATTTCTTGTCTGATAAACTAAACTGAGGTTCTTGATTTATAGTCTAAGAGGAACAACAAGGGGAATAAAAAGATTTAGATATGAGAGGATCAGCTTTATTAGTAAAGGCAAAAATGATTCTGTAGTTGAGATTCAGGCAATCCGAATAGACTTATTAAAAGCTTATTTAAGTGCTGGAATAAATATGTATGAATATATGCCAAAATCTATCAGGAAAGCTCTCTTAAAGGGAATATGTAGAATGAACTGTATTCACAGTCACTGTGTATCAGTAGTTTTAAAAGGAACTAGCTAAAATGCTACAGTTATCAACCAGGTCATAATATATTGTTGACTTAGCTGCAGACCAGTCCAGAGATAAATTATCTATTAAGACTTATGAATATTTTCATCTTTAGTCCTGATATATCACCACTAAGAGCACTAGATTTATGTTACTGTCTGTATCACTAATGGAAGCTTTGTTACCTGTATTTACAGTGAAAAAAGACTTCTAGAATTTTTTTTAAGATGCCATGTGAATCTCAAAACTGTTACTGTGTGACAACTAGATTAAGCTATAGTAGTAGCTTTTTAAAAGTCAGGAATATTTTAATTATCAAGGAATATTTGCATATTAACAAAATGCTATTTATATTTGACAAGACAACCTTTGTTTGCCTCACTATTTCTGCTTTTTTTTCTTTTTTTTCCAGGGCACAATATAGAAGTATGATAGCAACCGGAGGAGTCATAACAGGACTGGCTGCCTTAAAAAGGCAAGACTCTGCCAGATCTCAGCAACATGTAAATCTTGCCACAGCACCAGCTTCTGAGGAGAAAAAACCAGTTAGACGCCGGCCCAGGACAGATGTAGTAATTGTCAGAGGCAAAATCCGTCTTTATTCTCCGTCGGGTTTCTTTCTTGTTTTGGGAGTGCTTATTGCATTCTTTGGAATTGCAATGGCCATCCTTGGATACTGGCCCCAAAAGGAACAGCTTTTAGGATCTGAAGATAATCTATCTGTAAATGAAACCCAGATCCTGAGAAGCCAAGGAAGCATTTTACTTCGCTTCTTTGAACAGCACGTGCACTCAGATAAGATGAAAATGCTGGGCCCTTTTACTATGGGCATTGGAATCTTTATTTTTATTTGTGCAAATGCCATTCTGCATGAAAACCGTGACAAAGAAACAAAAATAATACACATGAGAGACATATACTCCACTGTAATAGACATCCACACCCTGAGGATCAGGGAACAAAAGCAGCTGAGTGGTGCCTTCACTGGCTTGTTGGGAGAAGGAGAACTCAGGCACAGTGGGAGCTCATGTGCATCACATCTGGCTGCGAACACGGTTGCGCCTTTCTCTGGCTTCAGGAGTAATCCTAGAATGGATAGTTCTGCTGAAGAAGATATTACCCTAAATGAAGAAAGAACCACTAGTAGCCTCCTGCCACCTCTGCTGACTGAACAATCTGGTTCAGTCTTTGGACTTTACCCTCACTCCAGCAAGTCTTCAGATGATAAAAGCACTAATTCTATAAAGTGTGAAACAAAATCCATTGTATCATCTTCTATTAGTGCTTTCACACTGCCAGTGATTAAACTGAATAACTGTGTTATTGATGAGCCCAGTATAGACAACATAACTGAGGACTCAGAGATCACTAGGGGTCAGTCTAGAAATCTGTCAATGGATTCTCTGGCCATTCCACTAACTGATACCAATGAATCCTACAGACCGGCCGTTCCCATGCTGCCACGACACAATTCATTTGTGGACACTCCATCTGATCAGTTCAAATCTTCTATGACTCTTGGACCAAGCACAGGAAAGCTTTTATCTCCTGGTGCTGCCAGGAAACAGTTCGGTTCCAACACATCTTTGCATCTTCTATCTTCACATTCTAAGTCCTTGGACTTGGACAGGGGTCCATCTATGCTCACTGTCCAAGCTGAACAAAGGAAACACCCCAGCTGGCCCAGACTGGATCGAAGCAACAGTAAAGGATATATGAAGCTAGAAAATAAAGAGGATCCAATGGATAGGTTACTTGTGCCACAAGCAGCAGTCAAGAAAGACTTTACTAATAAGGAAAAGCTTCTTATGATATCAAGATCTCATAATAATTTGAGTTTTGAACATGATGAGTTTTTGAGTAACAACCTGAAGCGAGGAACTTCTGAAACAAGATTTTGATATTTAAATTACAATTTAGAAGATGTCATACAGTATTTTTTAAAAAAGCATTTTGACAAGTGTTTCCTTTTCAGTGAGACTGTACTAGCCTGTTTTTAACCAAATGTTTAATAGCCCATTAAAATTGGCTTGTGCAAACAGAAATCTTCGCCTTTGTAATGCCGGGTTTCTTGTTGTAGTAACATACAGCTGCAATACTGTACATTATCATTGCTCAGACAGTTTTGTTACCACTGATTCCAATTATTCCCAAATCATTATTTTCTTTGTTCTGTATAAGAAGGTTACTTTTTATCACTTTGACTCCAGGAGACTGCATTAGGAAAAAAAGTTCAATTTACTTGCAAATTGTCTTTCTTTAAAGACTGCAAGAGTCTGAAAACAGAGCTTGTGGTCTAGAGTGGGAACTGACCAGAAGCACATACTGGAATTGTCAAATCCAAGCCTTTATTCCTGGGTGTTGTCTTTCATATGCAGTACGTCTTGAACTGCAGTCTTGCCATTGTCATTATGAGAAACTTGTTTACATATTGGTAGGTGGATAGAAAAGAGTGGGTATAATTAAAACAATTTTTTGTGAATTCATTGTAGTTGATCGAGCTGAATACCGGTGTTGTGAATTGTTAACTATGCTTCGTACAATAATCTTTCTACATCCATTGTAACTTAATCATGTAATTCTGGACAAGCATATATAAAGTAAGAAATCTGAAAATTCAGTTCTCTACACCACTTTGATTGGCAGCAGTTTTAAAATCAGAATAGAAAGATTCAGTTAAAATCATAGGAACATGATAAATGCTAACTGGATTTTAGAAACATGATGTATAATAAGATGATATTGGGGCATGCATCTGAAGACAATAATGGAAAATTAATATATTGCCTCTCATTACAATAGCAAGAAGCTAAGTAACTAGATCTCTATGTTCAAAATACTGACGCAAAGCATACAATTCAATATGTGTACTATATTGTAAAAAAGCCCCTTGCCTATATTTTGATTTATATATTTCACATAAATATTGCTGTAATGGTTCACTGAAGGCTTAGCTGTGGCAATTTGCATTACAAGATTTTCCAAAAGGAAGTGACATTTAAAACAACGTTTTTCTCAGCAAAGCAGGCTTCACAGTTGACAGTTGTAGGCTATTGCTAAAGAGAAGGAGAATCTGAATGTGCAATATCAGAAGGTTTTCATGAATTTCATTAAGGTATTTAGGCCATGGCCCTGCCTTGACACCGTGCTAGAGAATGTCACTTCAAGCTGCTAGGCTCACCTAACAGGATGTTGGTCTTACTTGGTTGAATTTGATATATTCACTTCACCTAAATACTCAGGAATTATTTTTAATGGCTTTTCCCAAAAAGAATCAAGCTTTTTAAAGTGTCGTTATTCCTCAATTACTTTGGCTATGGAAGATCAAAGATAAAAATGCCCTCTCCCTTTTTTTAAATATTCTGCTCCATATTTCAACTGTGCAATGTTTATATATCAGGAGCATTACGTGCTCAGTGAATTGAGGCATAGTGTTAACTGTTAGAACCTCAAGCCTATATATTGTAACAGAGTTGGCTAAATATTTTGCTATGAAGCTTTTAATAACTTTCTGGTTTGTGTTCTTAAGACATTTGCTATTTTTTGCAATAAAATGTCTATCTACACATATCTGTTTTAAGACCTATTTTTTCTTCTATGATCTCAAATCTTACATATCAAAGTATAATTAGGTATCATAGCATTGTATATACCATTGTGCTTAATTTTTTAGCCTGCCAGTTCTTATTTTGTCATGACTAATTTCAGGAACATGCCTACACATGTAAAGGCTGAATGGTTTTTTGCCCATGTAATGTGAAATATATTCAAAGTGGGTTTGATACAGGGAATTTTTGTATAAAAAGAACATCCCATTCTTTTTAGTGTGGCAGTAAGTATTCTTATAAAAATAGAAAACACTATAAAAAACATTAATGATGCAAGCATTTTATTTCCTTAATAGCTACATTAAAAGGTAGCTTAAAATACTGTTTTTCACATACTATCATATGTGAAACTGGTGGTCCCTTTGTAAGTATAGCAGGGCATGAGCTTTTAACATAGATAACAGGTAGTGAAAAATGTACCAATTCAAAAATTTAAAATTAAAAAAAATTACCAAGATAAAGCTACCAACTTAAGGACTCAAAATAGCATCATGCAAAGAAACTCTGTGGTTGACAGACCAACTACAAAAATATTCCCCTATTACCCTAAAATGTAGGCTTTCATTCAGATAATCACAGGACTGTTGAGGTTGAAAAGGACCTCTGCAGGTCATCTTGTCCAACCCCCCTGCTTAAGCAGGGCCCCAGGACCATGTCAAGATGGTTTCTGCATAACCCCAAATAGGGAGACCCCATAACCTCCCTGGGCAACCTGTGCCAATTCTGGGTCACCCTCACAATGAGAGTATCTGATGTTTTAGAGGGACCCTTCTGTGTTTCAGTTTGTGCCCATCGCCCCTTGTCCTGTCACTGGGCAACAGACTCTTTCCAGAGCCTGGCTCCTTCTTTTTCGCAGCTCCTTTAGATATTTATATACATTGATAAGATCCTCCTGAGAACTCTCAAGGCTAAACAGTTCCAACCTGCTCAGCCATTCCTCATAGGAGAGGCGCTTCAGTCCCTTCATACATGGCGAGAGTCAGGAATCTTACAGTGGCCAAAATATGAACCATGTGCGGTTGGCAGGTAAGGAACTGATGAAGACAAGAGCATGTCTCAAACTTAAATTGTATCTTTAGGGTTTAAATATCTTATTCAATCAGTCGCAGATTCACTTCACAGACTTTTTTTTCTTATTATTTCATTTCCATTATTGATGTTCTGTGCAGCCCCACAATGAGGTTTTCATGTACACTGCAGGGTGAAAAAGAAGCCAAAGTCCGGAAGTTTAGGACTAGTTTTGTCATCAGAGGAAATACAAGCCTTTTCATGAAATAAGCTAAACTTTACATCTGTCCAGAGGAAATGTTATGGTACTGTGTCCTTTGTATGCAATAACTCCAGAAAGAAATAACTTCTTGCACAATGAGTTTGTTTCTTCCCCTGCCTAAGACTATTAAAAAATATATTTTCTACTTTTTAGGTAATCATCCTAATCACTGGCTATGGATCAGAATGATGTTTAGGCCTCTCCCACCCTCCTGGGCAAAGCTCATTTATTAGGCTATTTTCATCAGGAAATAAAGAGCAGGACTCTGCTAGATAGAGTGATAGAGCATAAATGCTGCTTTACATTGTCTCTTACAGGACTGACTCTGTATTTTACATAAATTGTAAAAGGTTGCTGAATAAAATCCTTGAAACAGGGACTGGATTCTTGCCAGGTTGATACTTTAACTACTCCCCGGTGAGCCCAATTTATTCTCCCTGTGAGGCAATGAACCAAACCTTTCCTTGCAGAGTAGCGCCAAATTCAGCAGGAGGGACTGGCAGATGATCCAGCTGCTCAACTGCACATGGCTTAATGGATGAGAAGGCTTGAGCTTTCTCAGCAACAAAAGGACCTCAGTACAGTGTTACCCACCCACATGGCTGTCATAAGGCTGGAGCTGTGTAAAGGATGGGAAAGTGAGCTGGCACCCCCAGTCTGGTTTTGAAAGAAAATGGAATTTAATGTTATTAACTGAGCAAAATTTTTGAGGCTGCAAGTTTTGGAGATAGACAACAACAACTGCCCTACCTCTTATATTACCTAAATAAATTTTTTTTTGCAGGCATGTCAGAGTGCCGTTCTTAGACCTAAAGTTGATTTTGATTATCCTTTAAATGCAGCATTGCTAGTTCTTCAGTTTCTGCTGAGTGAAATTTGGGAAACAGGACTAACCTACAAAAGCAGTTTTCTCCCTGAAAAGCTTTTCATGAAGCTTGTAGAGTTCCTGAATTGCTTTAGTCTTACACTCTCAAGTTATTTCTTTCTATGAGTCTTTTTCTGACTCTTTCCAGGAACTTCTACCTTCATTTTCCAGCACTCCTTTTTTTTGGTTAATTTTCCTACTACATACAGCATTGTGGTGAGCAAGTAGAAATCTTTTAGCAAGACTGTGTGTGTGTATATGACAATGCAAATGGAATAAATAGCCATTGTAATATAGGAGTGCTTCAATTAGTACAATTTAGCTATTCAAGGGTAAGTTCATGGCCTTTGTTTAAACCTTTTCAGATTAAACTCAGGAGTGAATTAATTGCAGTTATCATAGCTATCATGTTTGACTTGCAGGTGTCGTTTATTATATGGCAATGGTGGTTTGTACTTTAGGACTCAATATTTCAAATGAACTTCACTGGAGTATTTTACACATTCAGTTAACCCCAGTTTTTAATAGGATTATTTGTCTGAATGACAGCTGGCAGAATTACAACCCCAAGTTTCATAAGGAATGGAAATGGGATAGTTAAAATACTTTTATTTTAGGATAAGTGAGTCCAGACAAGAGCCACCAAGTTGATCATGGAGCATCTCATGTATGAGGAAAGGCTGAGAGAATTGAGAAACACTGAAAACACTGAGCTAAAACTGCGTTCCCAAGATGAGAGTATACCACTGTTGTGTGAACTTAATGAAATATACTACTTTCAGTAATAACCTCTATAGTTTCCTTAGTGTAGTATTTTCACTGAGCTGCCTTCATGGAGAAGTGGCTTACTTTTCTGTGTAAGTGCAGTTTTGAAATGATCAGCATACAGAAGTACTTCACCTAACTCTTTCTAGAGTGCATTTCTTAGCATTTTTGAGAAATAATCATAAATGTAGGCATGTTCATTCCACCTTGAAGTAATGTTGCTCCAATTTGTTGTGATTAGTGTCTTTATTCTAGTCACTAGTTTTTCAATGGTCTTGATTGATTCAAACAAAGATATGTGAATGAAAAATAGGAAGATCAGCTACTATCACACAAAGGGTACAATATAGTCAAACTCATCTGGCACCTGTAGAGAATTCATTATCATTTTAACAGATGGGAAGCACTCTGATATATGATGTGAGCATATTGTATTATCTCCAGCAAACAAGTGTTCTTTATTATTTCTTTATGGAGACTAGGAAGAGGATTAGATTTATAACTTAATTAAATGTCAGTACCCTTTGATTCTTGGGTAGAGGAGTCAGGTGAATACAATATATTAGCAGGGGTTAGGAATTAATGGAATGGACATTAGATTCTCATTATACTTTCTAAATCTATATGCCTTATAATTAACACTGAAATGAAGGGCTCTTGCTTACTGTCCTAGAAAACAGTTCTGGTCATTCTGCTAAGGAAGAAAATACACCTGTTTCTTGTCCACTGAATTTTTTAATGAATGTTTTTATTCTTATGACATTGTTATAAGAATATTGACCTATCTCACTGTCAGTTTTGCAAGGTTTTCATGCCTTACCTTAATACTTCATTTTACTCTTCACTTTCCTTTTGGAGGTAGAACAGGTTAGGGTATTTCTGGAAGTCATTAAGAACTCTCTGATATTTACAGTTGCACCTATATCCCTTTACAGCAGTGCTTTAGTCTCTGGTCTCATAATTGGTGTAAGATGACTAAATCTTGCCTACCAACATAAGGGACAGATTCCCTCTCCTTTCTTCCCACCCTTTCTTCCATAGTCCTACTCCCTAAGCAGTGGAAAAAAACCCATCGGCAGAACCAGCTACAGCAGCAAACACTTGTAGCAAACAACCAACAGTAGTACAAAACAGGTACTGAATCAGAGACCTGGTCTGCTTCAAGGCTTACCTGTGTAAGGGCAGAGGCAGAGCCAGACTGCTATGATTTCAGCTGACTGTGAACCCCACTATCTCTTCATAATATCACACTGACTCAGATGAATTGTAATTTCTGACAGCACTAGTAGTCTAATGGGTTTTAGAGAAACATAGTGAACAGGCTGTGACTTCTATATCTGTTCTGATAATGAAACCCTGGGAATCTGTGGAATACCTGTTTATGATTTTCTGTCTGCATTTACTCTTGTAAATTTCTTTCAAGCATCCAGTTTCTTGGTGATTATCTATGAATGAGCACAACATTTGCAGAAAACCCATTCCTGAAAAGAGAAACCACAAGAAAATTTACTTGATTATTGTAAGTAATTTATTCAGCTTCTGTTCTGTTGCTAAAGGTAGGCATGGGTGCTTCTTAATGACTGTGTGTTCATAATAGTCAGTTACTTTCTCCTCTGAGATCTACACATCTTAATTAGTTGATGTTATAAGCAGTTTTCTAGGCCTAAAGCAGATGGAAAAAAATGTACCCCTGAGCCCTTCTGTCTTACTGTCTTCCAGAACACAATGAAAGGTTTATTTTTTAAAATTAAATTATTTAATTTGAATCATGTGCTAGATCATATATGCATATGAATTTACAGACATAGTCATATACATATATACACACAACATTTGTTACTGGATCTGGAAGCTGATCTACTTTAGAGCATTCTGCTTTTGTTGCTCAGCAAAGATAAACAGCGTGGTGCAAAGTGAGTGGGGAGAGGAAGATGCCTGTGTCCAAAATAGACTGCCTTTATTCACTCCTGCCTCAGTGGAAGTAAGCACAAAATAAATCATTAAAGCAAAGACTTAGAAAAGTGTGAAAATTATTGAGATTAAAGGGCCATGAAAAGGAGACTAGCACCCCAAGTCCAAGTCTGGGAGGATGAAGCCTAATATATCACCAAATCAAGTCTTGAAGATTTCAGGCTATTCAGAATTATCCAATTCTCTGACTTTTAAAAACAAGGTGACATCTCCGATTTTATCATTGTTGGAGAACCCCCCAAAAAATAAAAGGTTAGTGCATTGAATCAGGAAGCAATTTGTTGCTGGCAGTGGACATGGATGGACCATTACAAACATGTTTCCACTCTTGTCACATATTGTCACAGATGGAGTGACATTCTTTCCTCATGAGGGAAATGAGGGGAATAGGTAAGTAGAATATATAGTAGCAATATGTTTATTGATATAAAAAGTGATTTAACAAAGTTTGATAGTGAATGTGACCATGGTCTAACAAAATTTGATGGCAAGGTACACCTGCACAGAGGACAGGGTAAGGCAAAACTGTTAAGGGGAGACCCTCCTGTTGAGTCATGAGATTCAGGAAGGACCCTCTTGTGTTCCACACTTTCTCAGAGGGGAGTTTAGGTATAGTTGGATCCAGAATTGGTCAACAGTTTATGTCTAAAGGGTTACACATGCATGACCAATCCTTTATATCACTTAGCTAATATTTCAAAGAAGTTTAGCATCACTTACCAAGAATCTGTTGTGGCACAGAATCTCTGAACCTTGAGAACTGAGTTATCCCTGCTTACAGGGAGATCCTGGCGCACAGCTGTGCAGGAAAGCTCAACAAGCCCTGGGCTGTCCACTATTTACAGCGTAAGATGATTGACTTATAGTCATATTTGCATGCCAGCAAGATGTCTGGGTCACCATTCTAGACAGCCCTTGTCTGCTATCCCCCAAAGTCCAGAGTAAGCTGGATGCAGCCATCACAGCCCCCACTGGTGGTTATGGCATAAGCAGGGGAGGAACATACTGCCACAAACACTATTAAGAAAAAGCAAAAAAAAACTTTAAAAGACATGAGCTTCTTAATATATGGTATAAATCATTATTAAGACACATGTTTCTGAATTCCCTATTAGAGAAGTAATCATTACTCTTTCCTTTTGACATCCTGGAACTGACACCTCTGTGTTGGCTGGAAAGAGATATGAGTCACTGGACTTCCCAACACACATTCGCAGCCTCTTTGAGTCAGGCTCTGAGAAGATATGGGGCTGAGACTCCTTGCAGAGTGATTATTTATCAACATAAACAGTAAATTCTGTGCAAGTTTATCTTCATCCCTTCCCTGACATCAGGAATGTGTGTCACAGTAAAGAAACTGTATATGTGCAGATATGTTGGTACCAGTCTCTGCCAGTATATTTAGTTGCTGGCAGCTTGAAAGGCATCTAAATGCATCCATATTGTAATAGAACAACGTAAAAATTGGAATTTATATAAAAGTTAGCCATGTAGGCCTCAGGCATAGTCCTTGCTTTTCAAATGCAGATGGAAAGTATCTGGTAGGGAAAAAGTATCAGCTTCAGCTGACACAGGCCAGGTATGTGGTTTGCAAAACTCTATGACATGTAATATACTAGTCTGAATCATGGTTATAAACTTGGTTTATGAAAAAAAAGACTGTGCTTTTCACTGAACTCAACAAATAATTAATTAATCCTAGCTAACCTTATTTACAAGGATATTATTTGTATTTGCTTATCAACGCTTAAAATTACTTTCACCACAGGTGCCAGG